AATTAGAAATTTATTTTCTATAAATTCTAAGTCAAATTTTCTAATAAGAAATGAATGCATATAATATTTATTGATTAAATATAATGTGCTTAAATATTTGCAGTACACATTTTACATATTCTTCGATGTTTGAAAATTGTTTTACTTGCATAATTATATGCATATATATTTTTTTGCAAGTGTGGTATACAGACAGTAACAATATCAATCACAAAACATACAGGATCTTTAATGACCGCTGATTTTTTTTCCTATGATAATGATTTTTCAAAACCATTGGGACTATTTTTATTTCTGATTAAAGCAAATCTGTTTAACTTTGCTGATTTAATATTTTTGTTATTGAACATAATTTGGATAATGAAAAACAATTTTATGAATTATATGGTTGAATATTGAGAAATAGCAAGGAATTTAATTTCCGCTATTTTCTTGACACCTTTCTAACTCATATGTTAATTGCTATGCTATGCTATTGCTAAAATACTAAGCCTGGACATACAATTATTGTTCAAGAGAATTATTATAATTTCTTCTCAAAATATGCGGCAATGCATCCTGGAATTTCGTCTTGCAGTTCCATAAGTAATTGTCTCATTTATTAGAGAGCATACAGTACTGTCTCAAACATTCAAGGATTCAAAAACAAATATCTTGCTCACTTTACAAATACTTTCCATGCTTTGAACAAATTTACAGACTCTGTCATAACACATTTGAAATTTTAATGGGCAGGAAAACACAAATATCCTTTAAACATGATAGCCTGTGATCTCACCAGATGTTTGGATTTACGCATTTACCTTCAACAGTCCGGTTTCAGAAAACTAAATATACAGGTGAACAATGGGCAGTTAAAATCTGACAATGCAGCAATGCGGTCAAATTTATGTTAAAAATAGTTTTAAGTTAAACTATTTATTTTTATTTGTTATAACTACATAAAAATATAGAAAATACAGCAATTTTTAAACAAAATATCGAAGTATGGGGAAAAGATTACAAAGAACAAGTGGGGAAAATAGGGAAAACAACCATTGTAAAATATAAGACTAGTGGGGACAATAGGGAAAACAACCATTGTAAAATATAAGACTAGTGGGGACAATAGGGAAAACAACCATTGTAAAATATAAGACTAGTGGGGACAATAGCGAAAACAACCATTGTAAAATATAAGACTAGTGGGGACAATAGCGAAAACAAGCATTGTAAAATATAAGACTAGTGGGGACAATAGCGAAAACAAGCATTGTAAAATATAAGACTAGTGGGGACAATAGGGAAAACAACCATTGTAAAATATAAGACTAGTGGGGACAATAGCGAAAACAAGCATTGTAAAATATAAGACTAGTGGGGACAACAGGGTAAACAAGCATTGTAAAATATAAGTACATTAATTTTACAAAGCTATTGGATGACAGTTATTTGTTTTCATGGAACATATCTGGTCCATGCCTAATTCAAAAATAATACCATCGCACCCACTCCAATTAATAAAACAACCCCATGTGACCACTTAACATACAAATTATAACCCATAAAACTTTCATAGGGGACAGATTATCTCCCCTTTTATGATCTGTTGATCTAGACAGGAGTCTTTGCCGAGAACGTGTTTGCTGATAAAAATAATAAGCAACATGTTGGCAAGTGATGATTAAGAAATTTATTTCACTTTTACACCCTTTCACCAGTCAAAGTGTCAGTTCACGAAAAGTCTTCTGATACAGAGATAAGGCATGGGGTGGGTGTCATATAATATCAAAATGGTGCCAAAATTTCATTAAACCTCTCCGCCCTGCTAAAAGTAATAGAGTACATTATTATTTTCTTTACTGATATGATAAAGTTGGGCAAAATGTTTTTTTTTTTCCCTCTTGATCCATGATATTATAATCATTTGGCAAAAAAAAAAAATCCCCCCTTAACAAAAAAAAAAATAAATATTTCCTTAATAATATACAGAGAAAAATATATATCTTCCTGTTCAAATTTTGACATTACAAATTCTGAGTGGCCACCTATACATACAGTAATACTGATAATACAAATGTTCAATAACAAATCCACTTGCCTGAACATACAAAAACTTTTAGTCATTCGAAAGAAATTAATCTAATCAGTAATCAATGGAATCCATTTTCCGTTTATTTACCATCCCCTTAGAACTCGTTTTAAACATCAGTGATGCATTATGGGCTTAATCCCTTCACTTCCTGTCAATAAATTTAGTTTCCATTACTTTCCCCGATAAAAACTTTAGCCAAGAAAAATATTTACAAAGCTAGAATGTAAAAACAATTCAACAAATGAGGGAGATAAATCTGTGATAAAAGGAGATTGACTGCCATCTTTTATAAATATTGTGGCCCTAGAATTTAAAATCATAGAATTTACACGGGTTTCCTGACACATCCAGTAATTCATATGCTTTCCATCAAAGCCTATTAAAAATGATAAATAGCTAATAACTATAGCTGGCTATTAACGATATAAAACAAAATGGGCATTGCCGTGGAAATGTAATCATAATTCAAAAGCTCAAAGCAACACTGGGATAATTTCATACTTTAATTCGAAAGAGTTACGCGAGTTATGAATTTAATCCTCGTATTGCAGAATATATTGTGCAATCAATCGATTATGATTGAATATGTCTCTTAAAATCTTCGTTTATCAAAACTGACATAAACAATTCATAATTTTCTCTTGTTTTACAGTAGAATATCAAAAAGATCAATTTCAACTGTTATAAATCAAAAGACACCTGCTGTCACATTATTGATTACCTATTAACAAATCCAACTAATCATCAACTATTTTAAACTTCTGTTTGATGGTATCAGTCTGCAAGTTCAGACCTCTCTTCTACAGACAAATTTATTCTTCTTTATCAAACAGATGCATCTTATTACAGTAATAAATGGATTATCTTAAACCCAGTACTTTTTGAGTTTCATCTCACAAAAGAAGTGGTTTTTTTAAGCCTCAAATTCCATAAAATATGATTGCTCTTGTACAAATTTCTATGTATTTTTTGGTTTATTCTTGTGACATCTTAATAAAGTAAAGGAAAAGAATTATACATTTTTAACTTTTGGGAGGCAAAATAAATGACAAGCAAATGCCATGTAAAAAGCCATGCTTGCATAGACTCTACTTAACTTTTGTTAACATCTAGAGAAGCATGAGCCCAAGCCCACAAGACAAGGGATTTCAGAAGTTGGTAGATTTTAATAGAATATTAAGCTATTTTAACATTTCTCTCTGACTCTTGCATATTTAAAAACATTGTTTTACCATTCTGTTGATGCATGTCCATTTAAAATATAAAATATATCACAGTCTGGGTTCTAAATTTATACCAGTGTTCTTTTCCCTTCTTGACAAGGGTCTAGTAAACGGGACATGGGTCTGGTAAACAGACCAATTCTCGATCATCACCAGACTCATTCCCAGTTAGGTTTAAAAAATTGCTGTATTAATTGTTACAAAATACCGTAAAATTCCTATTAAACGCCCCCGGGGGCTATACATTTTCCAAAAGGGGGGCTATTATTACAACACGTTTTTTCCTAAATCCAAAAATCATTGAAAGTATATTTAGTGTTAACAAGTGTTGGTAATAACATTAAAATGTGTTAAGATTTTAAAGTTCATGTGATACATTTTTGTGTTTATTATGAAATAAAATGGATTCTGAAGGATTTGAATAAAATTACGGATTAATTAAAGAGTTCACCACTGATGAGCAGATTTTTTTCCATATCAAAAAGCCTGGGGGGGGGGGCTTTTATTAGGGGAGGGGCGTTTATTAGGAATTTAACGGTAGATCCAAGTCTTAATTTTAACAATTTCACTTTCTTGCACAGACTGAAAAAAAAACAACAAGTCTCCATCCATCTGTGTTTCTCCTCAAGAGAGCAAAAAAATTCTGCACGAAACTCCAAAAATATTCCGACAGTAACTGTATAATATTTCAACGATTGCTAAATGAACAAGCAAACAAAATTACCCAGCAAACAGTCTTGTACTTTTGTTTTGTGAGAGGAAAACATTGTTAAGTTTGAAATATATAAGAGAGTTGCACCTGTTGTTTGCAGTCTACAATTTTTGATGTTAATGAGGACCCCAAAGATCAGTTTACAAACATCTCGGCACCATTAACAGTTCCAGCATGTGATGCAAAACATATGCCGGCTCCTGTATTGTCTTATTCCATTCCCTAAAAAAAAAAGCCAATAAAACTGAAAAGATGTAGACTTGGAGTAACTCAATAATTTTTTATATCTTAAAAGCCTTAATATACCCGATGGCAAGATTTTAATTGTATGCGTAGTAGAAACTTTTTGTCTGTATTCTCTAAATAATAAATTAGTTTACAGCTAGCCTATGAGTTCTTGTGATAATAAATCTAACCCATCCACTGCAAGTAACCCATGCAAGTTGCTTCAATCATGTTCATTTCTGCACAGGTTACTTTTCAATGAAAAACATATCTTGAAATGCTACCTAAAGTTATTTATGGTTTTGTCCAGATTAAAAGATGGACAAATCCATTTAAAACATTCAGGGCTAAATACTATAAACAATTAACTAATTCAACAGCAGGAAGTATCATAAATTATAGATCAGCTGCTGATCTACTACATAAGATCAACATAGAGACAAAATTTGTTTTCCATGTTACTTTAGTCCACCTATGCATAATTATAGTGTGATATACAAAAACAATGTTACAAAATATATTTATCAAAATGTTAATTTTGACTAAAGCTGCTGAAACAAAACAACAAACATCAAAATATTATATAATTCAGCCAAAGCTCTAAATATCCCTGCTTTTGAGACTGCATTTAAATTTACAGTCCCAAATTTCAACAATTCTTGCTATAATTTGATAATATTTGACTTTAATATTATTAACCCCAAAATTTCAGAATTATGGTGAATGTCTGCATTTTACAAAGTATACAAAAGTAATATAATATAGCTTACCTATTTGTCAGTCAGAGAAAATTCCTTTAAAACTGCTCACTTCTGCTAAATAAATCCAATATCTGAAAATATAGATACCGCAAGTTGAAGATTATTTATTGTCCATCAAAATTTTATTGCATCAGCAATTAAAATACCCCACAAGGATAATTTATGGGGCTTCAATCAAAGATCTCTAAATAAGTAATTCACGAAGGCACTAAAAGTAAATCAATACCTCTATGCATAATTAAATACATGTAGTTCTAATTATGACACACATATAAATATTCCAACTTTTATAATTAACACAGAAACATGTAATTACAGGTCTAACATAATTTTCATTATGCATAGGTAATAAATAGCATGCAAGCATCTGGCTGTCACAGATCACCAGTGTGCTGCTGGAGTTTGTAAAAACTTTTTAGCCAATCAGAAGCCAGGCAGTAAATAGAAGTGAAAGAGACATAAATTCTATTTTTAGCAGAATGTTGAGGAAATTTTTGGGACTGGAAAAGATGTATATTAAAATGCATTTGAAGACATTGGCACATAATATTAGCCAAGTGGTATACTTGTGAGGCCAAGTTGTGTAATACAATAAATTACCAATTAGAACAGTTTGCTTTGAACAAAATACAAGTTTTAATTACCATATTATAATAAAGGTAATTAACAGATGATAAGAATAGCGTTTTTACTGATTAACATGTGTTACAAAACATTAACAGATATTTCAATAATTTTTAATGCTATCTTTGTCCCACAGTACTATGAGGACATCAAAATGTACTTTTCTGTGATTATTTTTTGTTATTTATTAGCACTATATTTCTTTTCAATTAGGTAAATCATAATCAAAGCTCTTTAGCAAAGCATTGCCTTTGAACATCTGCCATCAGCTTTAAATAAGCCTTGATTATTTTTTTAAAATATTGTTATTAATTAAATTAACTATAATGCCATTCAAATATGCTTGCAAAGCAGAAATTTACTGTACAGAAATGAAATATTTTTTTATTCTTTATGGGGCTTCAAAATACAGAAATAAAACTGAAGTACCCATGTAAAGTGTTCAAAACTTTGGAATTACATGTATATTGAAAATTGAAAAAAAAAATAAAAAAATTTCTTCAATGCTGTTAGACACATTTTTCAAATATCTTATTTTACACCAAGTTAACAGCAATTTAATGATGAATGTCAGATCGGATATATATGCTGACATCTAGTTAATCCTTCACTTTACAAATTTACATAAATTTAATCAACAAGCAAAAAACCGTGTTTACCACTATAAATTCGATCAACAAACTTTCTTCAGATTTTACAGAAAATATTCGCACAAGTATCGCAGAGTAACATCATTTCAGTTATTTGATGTGGCAGCAATTTTGATTGGCAAAAACATTATTTTTCACCGATTTTTTCTTGTACATTTTCCGACTTTTTCTTTTGCTTTTTCCGACTTTTTCTTGTGTGTTTTCGGAAAGTGTTAATTTTGAGAAATGCCATATGGCATTGAAATTCAACAAATTCAGTGCAATCAGATTGAAACAATCCATCCATTTTCTATAGTTTACATTAGCTGACAACGCAGCCTGTTCTTAAGATAAAATACTCATTACATGTGACGTGTTTACATGCAGGTTTCAACGTATTTAGTCTAATTGCAAGAAAACCAGAACAGAATGACATTTATATATGGTAAACTACATTCTCAACATTTATAAAAAGTACATTACATTTGATTTATTAGAGAGTATCAAATCCTGGGTGGGGACACAATCAAAGACCTTGTATGAAAAGACCAAATAAAAGTGAGTCTATAACTATATTTTTAGCAAGCCTTCCTCAATTCAGATGCATAACCCTTGTGGCACCGACCAGTGCTAATCTTCCCTTACAAGAGCTGTCAGTAGGACAGCAACACTCGACTATTCTTAGTGCTTGATAGTAAAAAAAATGCTTGATACAGTTACCTCCTCCTGTTTACAGGTTTGGGTCATGATGGTGAACAAGTGTGCAAAGTTTCAAAGCCATATGTCAATGGACTTTGAAAATATTTGAACTATTACAAAAACTTTAACGTAAATTCTAAGTCGAAAAAGGGCCATATTCTGTCAAAATGCTTGATAGAGTTACCTCCTCCTGTTTACAGGTTGGGGTCATGATGGTGAACAAGTGTGCAAAGTTTCAAAGCCAATTGTCAATGGACTTTGAAAATATTTGAACTATTACAAAAACTTTAACGCAAATTCTAAGTCGAAAAAGGGGCATAATTCTGTCAAAATGCTTGATAGAGTTACCTTCTCCTGTCTACAGGTTTGGGTCATGATGGTGAACAAGTGTGCAAAGTTTCAAAGCCATATGTCAATGGACTTTGAAAATATTTGAACTATTACAAAAACTTTAACATAAGTGGTTACGCCGACGCCGACGCGGACGCTCGGGTGACTGCAATAGTATCGAATAGTCGAGCTAAAAATGATGAATGGTTTTGTCCAAATTGAAATTTGAGGTATAATAAGGGTTAATAGTAAGATAGTTTGATAGTTTGATAGTTTGACTATAAGTTTTGACCTGTCAGTGTTACAGCACCAAAATAAGGGTTTGAGACTTTTGTACCTACCATACATCCATCTTGATCGTTCAGATATAATCCACCTAAACAATGTTGACAATATCCTGTATATTTTAAATGTAAAGATTACTTTAGAGACATGTTTTATTTTAATATTCTTCGCTTAAAATTCGGTGGTTAGAATGTAGATGAGACCATTTATAGCATTGTTCGACTAATCGTATATTATCTTGCCTTTCTCGGAGCATACAGATCACAATTTGGTATTGAAATTCGTTTTATAGTATGAGCTTTGGGAACCTATACGGCAGTAAATCACGATGCAGTCTCCGAGTCGCAATCAATGCATGTTATTAAATTTATTCGCAACATCTTCCCTCGATACATGTACGACTGATCAAAGTTTGACAGCACGCTAGCATATGAACCAGAGTTAGGTCAATTGTCATGTTTATTTAATATTGTACATGTATGAGTAGAAAATGAATGATTATTACTTCGTCTCATCAATCATGTACGCGAGGACATCTCAGACATGCTTTTTGTAAAAATTTCTCAAGATTTCTCAGCAGTATCTCAAAATATAATCATAATACATCATACGTCATGCAATAGTAGGAGATATGTAAACTTCCAGCAAATTTTCTGATTTTTTTTTTTGGATTTTTTTAATGGCGGGGAGTGATGGGGTTGGGTGGGGTGTTCAAATATTGTAAACCCTGAAGAAATTTATCATTCACTGGGCACTGGGTATGGATAACAACATATCATACCAAGAGTCATGGTAAAAATCAACTCATGGTAAAAATCAGTACTGGTGGGAGAAATAACTCCGACGCATAGATAACCCCGACACTTGATAAATATAATTTTTATAACTTTGTTTTTCAACAAAAAAGCATATGGTCACCTAGAAGTATAGGAGCAGGACAGAATGTGATGATTTTTTGTAAGTTTGTAAACTTTTTAATATTTTTCAATTAACTGAAACATTTCGTTGGCAAAAACTGCTTCAAAACGTTCTTTTTACTAAATTACAATGAGGTAGTTAGAAATGTATTGACCACAGGCCACTGACTTGGGAAATATTTTTGAAAACTTGTTTTTACATCAACAAAAAATAGATAAAACATAAAAAATGTAAAAATAAATTAACGATGCTGATTTTCCTGTCATTTTTTACTAAAAAATTCAAGTGTCGACTTTATCTACTGTTGAGGGGTAAAAAGACCATGTTTTGTATACCCCATTCAGGACCTTAAAGAAGTACCAATTCTCATTTTCATACATATTTTTTGTAGTGTAATGTAAAGTCTTTGAACTGAACTTTATTTAGGTGGTTCAATATTTAAAATATACAGGAAGATAATTAAGATATTACAAAAAATATGTGATTTAGTGTCGGAGTTATCTCTCCAACCAGTATAGAACAGTCGACATTCACAACTAAACAACAGCCTAGTAATAATAATAATAATAATAATAATAATAATAATAATAATAATTATAATTATAATAATAAGAAAAGAAATGGTAGCTATCTTTAAAAAAACAAAAAACTTCTGGGCGTTTCTTAGTAGAAAAAACTTGAAAAGACATTTTAAGTCATAAGGGAGATAATTTATTGAAACTAGATCAAAACGAATCTTATGCTATTTTTTGTACGGAAAACACCATTCATGTAAAAATATCTTTTAACAAAATCAATCAACTTCAAAAAGAAAGTTTAAAAAAATGCTAATTTTTTTTTCTACTAAACTTACAATACTTTATCTAAGACAAATAACATCCCTAAAACAACATAATTCATGTTATAATTGTACAACACAAAAGATAACATTGTTGCGGTTCTTAACATTTGTTCAAACTGCACACAAAAAGTAGAACCTTCCTCCTGGGTAATCAATCACCCAAATATAAGTAGAAAGTTTTCTAAAATGTCATTTTACCAATACATCATCTCCATGACAATATAAAAATTCCTGATAAAATCATCTTCTATTTTGTATGGAAAAGACAGCATTGGAAACACTTAATGTAAACAATACTGAAAGCTTTCTTTAAAAAATAGATCTATTCTAAAAACAACTTAAGACACATCAAGTATTTCTTACTAATATCATTTCTCCCAAGACGCTTGAAAATGAAACTGTGCTTTCAATTCCTTTTAAAATCCACAGAAAATTTTATCCACAAAGAAGAGTGGAATCCAAAATATTCCCCACATCTATGAACTTTTGCACCTGACAAATGTTTACATAGCCCCTAAACAATGCTTTCTTGTTGTGTTGGCCCCTAAATTAAGCCCCTTATCTTAGCTCTGACAATGTAAAGACAGGATTAAGATCCCTCTCTCAGTACACGGGGTTTATCTCCACTTATCTCCCTTTATCTTTGTAATCGAACTGCAAACTGTCTGCAAATGATAGTACACAGTTTTTCCACATGGAAGAGCCAAACTATTTAATTATTTATAGTGTAAAGGTAGGGAAATAT